GTCTCAATACAAGAAATATTTTACAGTGAGAGCAATTGTTTACTGGAATAACCTTCCAGGGGATGTGGTAGAGGCCCCATCACTGGAAGTTTTCAAGATGTGACTGGACAGGATGGTAGATAATCTCATCTAGGCTCCCTTTTCCACAAAAGGTTGGACCAGAGTTAAGATGAAAGGTAATGGTTTGCACACTGTCATCCTGCTTATGGCACTAGGTTAATTATGAGTAAATCATATCAGCTTTGTCTGACAGTGTCATGGTTTAAACCCAGCTGGCAGCCAAACACCACGCGACTGCTCGCCCACCCTCCCCTGCCCCTGGGGATGGAGTAGAGAATTGGAGGAGTAGAGGGAGACCCATAGGTTGAGATAAAAACAGTTTAATAATTGAAATAAAGTAAACCAGTAACAATAACAGAAAGTACAAATGGGTAATGCACAATGTGATTGCTCACCACCTGCTGACTGATAGCCAGCCTGTTCCTGGCCAGCGATCCTGAAAACCAAGAGCCTGAAACCACCATCCCAGAAGTGAGAAAGAACCCACTCCTTCCCAGCTGACCTGACCCTCCATGATGTTACATGATCTGGAATATTCCATTGGCTTCTTTGGGTCTGGTGCTTTGGCTGTGCTCCCTCCCAGCTTCTCGTGCACCTGTGTACGAGCAGGACATGGGGAGTTGGAGAGTCCTTGATCTTGTAGCAGCAACTGTAAACATCAGTGTATTATCAGCATTCTCCTCATACCAAATCCCACACCGAATCCAAAACACAGCACTATTCTAGCTACTAAGAAGAAAAAATAACTCTATCCCAGTCCAAACCAGGACAGACAGTCTCCCAGCTTTACACTGGAAAGTGTGTTCTTTCCAGAGCCTGAGTGCTCTTATCTGGGAGTCATCAGCACTGAGGTTGTCTGGCACCTTGTCAAGCTGGGTGATATTGGTGATATTGGTCCAAGAGTGGCCTGGCCATCTCAGAGCTATGGATACAAGCCTAGTCTCTACTGCCGCTGGCCTTGGTCTGCTAAACCTGAGCCGACTGCTAGTCTGCATGGCTTTGCTGGGCTTCCAGCACGAGCTCTAACCAGAGCTGAATGTTATTTTCACAAATGGGATAGGTACAATGGTTGAGCTCTAGACTTAAACCAATCAAGTGACAAATATCAACTACCATACATTCAAATCCCAGATTATCAAAAAGGTAAATTCACTGCATTACCCTATTTATCTCCGTTATTGCTGGTATCCAAGAGTGAATTAAATCCAGGGGATGTGACAGCAAGAAAGACCCTAAGAATATATCACTGTTCAATGTCTGTAACTTTAAAATAAAAGTAATCTTTCCAAGTTGTTTTTTAATTGTCCCAGCTGACCATTAAGCACAGCATCTTAAAATGCAACCACATTTTCAGCATTAATTTGTTTATTTTGAATAAACTGTATTTTCATGAGGCCGTAGGTTTTCATTCATTGTTCTAGGCTAAGCAAAGCCCTTATCCTACAAGCGGGTATTTTTTTCTGAGGCCATTTCATTTTTGTACTTAGTTCCATTTTTTTTTTTTCATGGAACTACTCGCTTTTTCAGTAAAGGTGGTGGTTGTGGTTGTACCACATCTGTTTCCTGTTGTAGTCTATATTCTCACTGTGGTTTGCAGTATTCAGAACGGCCTCAAAATGTGAAACCCACACCACATTGTGGTTAAAGCAGCGTAAACCGCTGGAGACACTGCCTCATGGCAGCAGGAGGTGGGTTTCTCATATGGGGGGTTCTGTGGGGATAGGCTTCATTGTGGTGAGCTGATCCATCTGGGGCTGGAGAAGGGGAATAAACGTGGAAAGCAGCATTGGCTGGGACTCGGTTGTCTCCTGAATTACAGTATGCGATAAGAGGATGCTGAAATCCATTGTAACTGGTCTATTAGCGATTGTTTCTTTTTCCTTGTGCTTATTGTATATATCACCACAATATCCCTTACCATTTTCCTTCTGGCCTACACCAGACTATTTGGTCCCGTAGCCTACTGATGAAATTCGATTTGAATCTCCTAAAACGCAGCCGAAGTGAGTGCAGACAGCATGCTGCCGTGGAACTATGCATGTGGTGGTACCCGGCTGCTAGTGGGCAGATGTTTATATCAAGTAATATTGCACAGATGGGCTCAGGTAAGATGCATAGGAGTAGGGTAACAAGTGTGTGTAAGTGCTTTCAGCTAGGCGTCTGTTTTGTCTAGGTGACATAAAGCTGTCTTTTAAAATAACCTGCATGTGGCAAAACAAAATTTAATTAAAAGCAGATACTTATGGATTAAGTCCTCCCTTCTCTTTTCCTGACTGTCTTTCAATATAAGAGGAAGCTTATTTGAACAGCTCTCCTTTTAAAGTTTGCCAAAGAAAGTTCGTCTCATACCATACCCCTTCCAGGTAATTCTCTTTGCTGGTAGTTAAGCACCTGCTTAAATACTGAAGCTTCTTCCTTTTATAAGTACAAGGCAAAAAGCGTAGCATCTGAAAATACTGCTTTGTGATAGTGAAGTTTTAGTGGTTATTACTGTGTGGTTTTAGTTGACTCACTTTGCAACATCCATCCGTTCTGTTTATATTTTTGGTCTGCTTAGCAAGCACTAATTGCCATATATTAATGAGTTGCAAGCAAATGGCTTATCTCTGTAGTTTAAGGGGGAGAGGGAAACAAGCCATCAGAGAAATGTAAGATGACTGTGTTATGGTTGGAAAATGCGTGGTAGGCAAAAGGGGATGACTTTTGCTTGGTGGTGGTGATGGCTTCTTGAAAGGATGGTGGGTTTAAGGGCTGTAAGTCACAGTTTATCTTATGGATGTTAAATCCGTGTCCCTAGTTCTAAAGTTAGCCATTAGTCTGTTGTTTAGCAACCTCATTTATCAAAACAGAGTGTAGGAGGCATGCTGCTAGGAATTGAGAGCCAGCAGATGCTGAAGTTTTCAGACACAGAATAGATGGAATAGCAGGGCTTGTTTTCAGAAGGAAGTCCAGAAATTAGGCAATTACACTGGGCTCTGAGCCCAGCTAAACAATCTGTGATAGGAAAAGCTATGTTTGGATTTGGTTATCAGTGTGTAAAGGACATAAGTTACAGCTTTAGGCTGGGAAATGCACCGTAATGCGAAGCGAAGCTGCAAGGACTGTGCTTGACTCTCTGAAGTATCTTAGTGAGAATGCAGGGGAAAAAAATCATTTCGCCAAGCAACGTTCACCTTATTTTTGTGATGTATGTGCATTAGTAGAAGTATGCCATATATGCTACTAGACTGAAGATATTTTGGAAATCCAATTAAGCAGGGTAATTATGAGCTTTTTAAAAAAAGTTAAATTATTAATAATTATTATTATTATTCCTTATTCCTACAAACCAGCAAGTATGTAGAACCCCTTTCATTTTTCTGTAGGAAATGTGCACATAAAGATTCAATTCCTGTTCTAACATACTCAGAGTAAGTACAGTAATGTCGGGAAGTTTATGACAGGGAATAGTTTTAAGGAGAAATAGAATTGTTGTGAAGATTATAGCATTTTCTTCAGCTTTTTTAATGAACTTAAAACTATTTTATTAACGTGCACATTATACTGTACGCTGAGAAAGGAATGGCTTTCAGTTCTGTTTCTCTATTCCTTTCCTTCCTCCCTCATCTGTGCTTGGGTAGGCAAAAGGTAGATGAGTTGCTCCAAAATAGCCTTCTCGTTTCTCATGAGTAGGGAAATTCTTCTGACCATAAAACATCATCCATCTAGCCAGAGTTACTAAACCGATTGATTTTGAAGGTTGTCATTGCACAAATCTTTGGGTTTGAGCCATGGGGAAAAATGGGAAATCATACAGACTTGACTATATATCTTAATTCCACAAGGCAACTGAGAGAGATTTGAAAACAGCTATTTTAGTAAGTCACTCTTTTACTAGTCCTTAACTTGGAACATCCTTGGGTAGTGGGAAGGACATTGTAATGTTTCAGGGATTAGTATGCTATCTTGAATTTTGTGGATCACGTTGTTTTGGGAATTTTTTACATTCAGGTGGTTTGGCTTGTTTCTTTTTCTTTTTTTGGACAGGTAGTATACATGCTGTAAACTTAAACTGAAACTTGAAACAAGCAGAAATATTTCAGAAGGAACTTTTCTATTAAATTGTAGTGCTGAATCATTTTTAAGCTTCTCTTAAAACACAAGACTCTCTTCACTCCTGTCAGTATGGTACTTTTTATAATACTTGGCATTCATAAGGTACTTGATCACTTGAACATGCATAAACATATGTTTAATTAATCCTTTCAGTTCCTCTTTGAGGAAGTTAGGTATTACTTCTTTTTAGCAGTAGAGAAAAATAACACAGTAAATTCAAGTGTCTTGATCAAAGACATGCAATTATTTACAGACTATTACTGTTCCTTCTAGTACAAAAAATACTGAACTTAATTTTGAAGAATAGAAAACTGGTTCTTTACTCAGGCTTGGGAATATAAACATATTCTGTAGATCTTCTTGACTCTTTGCCTCCCAGAATTTATGTGGGGCCTCCTCTTATTGCGGTTTGTAATCTGGGCAAAGCTCACTTGGGAGGGACTGTGGACTACAAGACGCTGAGCCGGGACTTCTTGACATTGTAAGCTTGTCTTCATGTAAAGCACAGCGTCTGCCATTTAAACCAAGAGACCTAAGTCAGAAAGGAAAGAGGCAATGACTGACAGGCACGCATAATATTCCTAAAGCAAATATAATAAGGAATGTTGTGTCATAATTTCATGTTACGATCTCATTAGCCTTATACATAAGGGATCCTCTGTGGCTTTTAGAATAAGTACCTGTTGAAATAAGTACCTGTCTTTTTAATTAGATTGCTGTGTGACATTGATAGCATTTTAATGGCTAGGAGATTATTTTTAAATTTGCATTCTGAGTGCGGAGCAGCTAGTTAATTAATCTCCGATAAATAGTGACAGAATTATTCTGTTTGTGTATATCCATAGGTCATGAATGCTGATGGAACTGGGCGAAGAGTTCTGGTGGAGGACAAGCTGCCTCATATCTTTGGATTCACGTTGCTGGGAGATTACGTCTACTGGACAGACTGGCAAAGGCGCAGTATCGAACGCGTGCATAAACGCACAGCAGAAAGGGAGATCATCATAGATCAGCTGCCTGATCTAATGGGCCTGAAAGCTACAAACGTCCGCCAGATAATTGGTGAGTGAGACTGCTAATTGGGCAAGTAAACGAAATGGAAAATTTCAGCAGTGCTCTTCCGCAGATACCGCTTTATAGCAGGTTAGATTTTTAGAAATGGGCAGAATCCAGTTCTGTTGTGTGGTACACAGTTTGATGGGATGGGGTAGGTCTTCTGTGAGGTGCTTTAGTTCTCTAACTTGAATGAATATGAAGCTGGAAAGCAACCAGGCACCTCCCAGAATGGGTAATTTTCTGCTTCTTAGAGAATTGGAGCAGCTCATAGGTCTGAACAACTCTGGATGCAGTAAGGGGAGAAGAAGGATCATGGGAAATGAGAACCTCTCTTTGTAACAGCCAGCTATTAGATTAGCCCAGCTGTTTATGGAACTGCAGCTGTAGCAGCTTTTCATCTTGTAATCCGAACATGTGCTCCCAGTATGCGAAAGCTAAGAATGAGCCAGTTTTAGTCTGTTCATTGCCTTCCACATTCATACTGCAAAATCATCTTTTAAAAATAATTAGAAGTACTTTCTGCCCTGTGGTGTTCATGGTGTAAAAAAAAAAAAAAAAGCAGGATCCAGCTTTAAATTGGCTATCATTGGCTATCTTAACACTGGTAGCAGTGTAACTGTAGCATCACAGAACTCATCACATTCCCTAAACGTCCTGCTGTGTGGTTAGAACTTGTAGCCTCTTGCTGCCATGTCTGGATTATACCCCAGGAAATTAGTCAAATGTAGTTGAAGTGTATCTTTGGGTTGCTGCTACCACGTTAACAAGATGCCCGAAGGTACATGTGCTAGTCAGCGGGAGGTTAATGGTTGGACTAGATGATCTTCGAGGTCTTTTCCAACCGAGATGATTCTGTGCTTTAAACGCAGCCCTCTTTCCAACTGTTTGGTTAATTGAGTTTGGTAATGCTGGGCCTCTCTTAGTGGGTGGGTTTTCAGCATGTGCAGGTACACAAGTTGGTATTGCAAAGAGCTGTTTTACTAGTAGAAGAGACCGTTGAATGGATATGAAAATAGATCTGCACGTTTTTTCATCTCTAGGAACTCGATCAGGCTATGTAACTGGACCAGTGCACGGTAAAAGGCAGCAGAACATATACTTGCTTACTTACAAGTGAATCAGGAGCATCAGTAGCTGTTGGAGTCCAGACCCCTTTCCCTAATGCTGGGTTTGTTTCACGGGGCCGGGAAAACACATTCTGGCTTTCCAGCTAGGTCGTGTAACATCTCTCTAAAGGATTACAAAAAAACCAAACAAAAGTTAATTCATTCAGAGAATAAAAGGTAGAAAAACTATAGTTATTCCTTAAAGGACTCATAGTGTTGTTGATGCGTGCGAGGACTGGTTTCATCTTCCAACTTCAGTTGGTTTGCAGTGATGGTTTTTGATTTTGTTGTGTGCTTAGGTACAAACCCTTGCGCAGAGGATAACGGCGGCTGCAGCCACCTCTGTCTGTACAGACCACAAGGCCTCCGCTGCGCTTGCCCCATAGGCTTAGAGCTCATCAACGACATGAAGACCTGCATTGTCCCAGAAGCTTTCCTGCTGTTTTCTCGGAGAGCGGATATCAGACGAATCTCTTTAGAAACAAACAACAACAACGTGGCTATTCCACTTACTGGAGTCAAGGAAGCTTCCGCTCTGGATTTTGATGTGACAGACAATCGGATTTACTGGACTGACATTTCACTGAAGGTAGAGGTTGACTCCATGTTTAGTTGTTACAAGGTTCTTGAGATACTTAAGAATGGATTGGCAAACGTGATTACAAGATTTAAGGGATAGGTAAACGAGCTTGTTCTAACTAAAAATTATGTACATTTTTCATTATAATAGCAGCATTCTCTCCTATAAATCATCTGTACTGGGTGGCAAGGTTTTGGTGGGGGGGGGATACAGAAGTGGCTTCTCTGATAAGCTGCTAGAAGCTTCCCCCATGTCCAACAGAGCCAGTGCCAGTGGCTCCAAGTCTGAATTGCCACTGGCCAAGGCCAAAGCCCATCAGCCATGGTGGTAGCGCTTCTGGGATAATGTATTTAAGAAGGGGAAAAAATTGCTGCACAACAGCAACTGCAATGAGAGAGGAGTGAGAATATGAGAGAGAAGCAACTCTGCAGACACCAAGGGCAGTGCGGAAGGGAGAGGAGGTGCTCCAGGTGCCAGAGCAGAGATTCCCACGCAGCCTGTGGTGAGGCAGCTGTGCCCTGCACCATGGAGGCACACGGGGGAGCAGAGACCCACCTGCAGCCTGTGGGGGACCCCACGCCGGAGCAGGGAAATGCCTAAAAGAGGCTGTGACCCCCTGGCAGGGGTCCTGTGCCCCCCTGGCAGGACCTGTGGCCCTGTAGAGAGAGGAGCTCACGCCGGAGCAGGTTTGCTGGTAGGATTTGTGACCCCACGGAGGTCCCACACTGGAGCAGTCTGCCTGAGGGACTGCACCCCGTGGGAGGGACCCATGCTGGAGCAGTTTGGGAAGCAGTTCTGCTTCATGTTGCAGAAGTTCATAGAGAACTGTCTGCTGTGTGAAGGACCCCACGCTGGAGCAGGGGAGGAGTGTGAGGAGTCCTGCCCCTGAGGAGGAAGGAGCGGCAGAGACAAGGGGTGATGAACTGACCACAACCCCCGTTCCCAATCCCCCTGAGCTGCTGGGGGGAGGAGGTAGAGAAATTGGGAGTGAAGTTGAACCTGGGAAGAGGGGAGGGGTGGGGAAAAGGTGTTTTAAGATTCAGTTTTATTTCTCATTACCCTCCTCTGCTTTGTTTGGTAATAAATTAAATTAACTTTTCCCAAGTTGGGTCTGGTTTGCCTATGACAGTAATTGGTGAGTGATCTCTGCTTGTCCTCACCTTGAGGCACGAGCCTTTCGTGATATTTCCTCTCTCCTGCCCAGCTGAGGAGGGGAACGATAGAGCAGCTTTGGTGGGCACCTGACATCCAACCAGTGTCAACCCATCACATCGTTTAAATCTAACGTATACACTTTCACATAGAGGATAAGTTTGCAAAAATTAAGTTTTTTGGCAGAAAGCTCGGAAGAGTGCCATATGGCAGGAGGTTTTGGGGATCATGGAGGTTTTGCCAAATATCTTTAACGGGGGGAAGCCTTGTCTTGGGGCAGGAAGTTAAAATGGGTCTTACCTGCTCATTAACTTACATAACTGCTGCATGTGAGACATATTATGAACCACAGGCTTTATAAAACAGGTTTAGGGTCTAGAGTGACAAATCAGAAAAGGTTGAGGGTAGGTGTTTAAATGTGATGGTTAATGCAGCGACAGAAATCTGTGTATTGTCTGTCTGTTAGCAGTAAGTCTAGTTATGCCCTTTGTTTTTCATGGGTTGTAGATGTAGTCAGAATTTCGAGCACCAAAAATTTAGTTTTTAATAAAAGAAAGTTTTCTGCAATTGGGTTGAGACCTGAGCCAACAATAACTCATGGACCTTTGCAACTGAAGAACCATAAAACTTAAAAACACGGTTTAAGTGAGTTTGAGAGGTGGCTTGGCTGAACTCTTTAGGTATGGTATTCATCTGAGCTGTGTTTGAAATAAAAATAAAGCAAGGATCTGATCAATTTTTTAAGGATGGTACAGATGAAGACTGAGATACAAAGTTCCCTGCTGTGTACTGTCACAAATTGGCGTAATTAGCAGGTAACATCCAAACTGGGAAGTAAACAAAAAAATCAGTCTTTGTGTTAACGTCTGATGGGTTAAGAGCATGAGGAGCCTCTGCAGAGGGGAATATTAGGGACATAGAAAGGAAACCCATGTTTCCCAAAAAGAATTTTGTACCGTCCTAACATTATTCTGTTACTTTCAGACTCATGAGTGGTCGCAGTAAATCAGGGAATGCCTAAACTCTGATATATTATTACAATATAATTCTGGCTGTATCTGCTATCACGGGCTGATCCATGACGGCAAGAGTTAAGTCTCTTGAATAAAAGCCCGAGAAGAAATTATGCTGAGTGAAATTAAATTAAACCAACCGTCAGTACTGAAGCACTTGCAATACAGAGCTAATCAGTCGTTAGGTTGTTTTCTTCCATTTGCTGTTCTGCCCTGAACTTTTTCATTAGGCTGCTTTAAATTGTGTTCCATGCTATAACATCGGTGCTTTTGTATAGTCCTGGGAGAGCCAAAATATTTCCCCCTCGAAGTTGGCACTGAGTTATTAAGGTCATTTTGGCATGTAGACTGCTTAATTGAAGCAGACTAGTTATCCCATTTATTTCCCCAGTGAAACGCTATTGTAATTGACACAGAATACATTCATGGAGAACAGTAAATCATTACTTCTGAATAGCAGCATTGTTCGCCTTGCAAATAAGTAGCATATTGTAAGATCCTCTTTCCTAGGAGATGCCTAAAATCTGAAAGTGTTTAAAATGCAACAAAGCAAACAACCAGCCGAATGACAGACTGGTAAAATTTTTAATTTGCCTGTGTATCTTTGTATCCCTGCAGACCATCAGCAGAGCGTTTATGAATGGCAGCGCACTGGAACACGTCGTGGAGTTTGGCTTGGATTACCCGGAAGGCATGGCTGTAGATTGGCTGGGGAAGAACTTGTACTGGGCTGATACAGGGACAAATCGTATAGAAGTGTCAAAGCTGGATGGACAGCATCGCCAGGTGCTGGTGTGGAAAGATCTTGACAGTCCCCGGGCGCTGGCGTTGGACCCTGCTGAGGGGTAACTTGCTGGTTTAATTTTATGTTTATGAACAGTGAAAAACAACATCGTAATGCTTCCTCTAGGGCATGTTAGTTAGGCGCTGCCTGTAAATCCTGAGAGAACTGAGCTGGGGAATACAACTTGGTAATTTAGAGTATGAGGGATGGAGGAATACGCTCTTAATGTCCTGAATAATCATTAAGACTACTACCAAAAAAATCAGAGCAGCTCATTAAAAAGGGATTTATATTTAGTTTTTTAATTAACCACAGAATCAAAGTAGTTTTAGGTTTGTGGAATTCATTAATTAGAAAAGGACTATAACATTGAAAAGAAAATATTTGTCCTTTTAAAAACGGGGATTCTTTTTATCACAAGTTAGGGTCCAATAAAACTATTAAATGATTTATCCTGAGAGTGGGGGAGTAAAGCTTATTGTCTAAGAATAAGGAAGGTGTTTGTTTCTTCAGATAAGGAAGCCTTTTTAGTTGGTATGGACAACGGAAGCAAGGACAGAGAAAGAGTGGAAACAATTATCCCCAAAACGAAAGCTTTTCTGAGAAGAAACTTCTCAGTTGGATTCAAATGTAATAGCAAAAGTAGGACAATAAGCAGGGGGAAGGAGGAAGGAACAGGGCAAGGCAAAACTGTTTAGCTTCTGAAATAGCTCTTCTACCATGAAGTGCTCATTTGACACTAATTAAAAACATAAACCTATTTGAGATTGTGCCGACATTGTATTATTCTCATTTTACAAATGAGGGAACTTCATTTTCAAGGTTTATGAAATGATCACAGTTTCCAGTGACGCTGCAAGAGTTAGAGCAATGCAGAGAACTCGGAGCACGTTCTTCCTGCCTCATTCCAACAAGGTGGTGACAATTGTCACGGTGCTTAGGCCAGCAGAGCTGTGCACTGTCTGCAGTGGGACACCTGGGTGGGGTTTAGCCCCAACATGCCAGGGGATGCCTGGACAAGTACATCAGAGGGCATCCAGGACTAGATTGTTAGCTCCAGTCACTCAGTTGTCAGGAAAGGTTGCTACGTGTGATTCTAGTTTTACACTAGACGTTTTTCCAAGGATCATTATAATTCAATGCTTTGTCTCTTCACCACAGACCAGAAAAAAAAAAAAAAAATTGAGTCTGAATGCCTGTTTTTTCCTTTTGAGCTGTGTCGTCATACTTGATAAGGAAGTTTTCCTGGCATTGCTATTGCAGGGACAATTCTAACACTTAGGTCCATGCTGTGCACAACTTGCAAAAAACTTGAAGAAAAATTTGCAAGTATTCTTGGTGTCTAAAGAATAGCTTCCCCTTGATCAGCAGTTTCTGAAGCAACGTTTCCCACTGTGTGGTTGGTTGAAATTAGAAGCATTTCAGAGGTGTTTGTTACTAGAGGTATTAAAGCAGAAAGGTGTAAACACATTGGCTGGCGATGTCTCACTTGGAAAGCAAATAGCATTAAAAAAACATTTTGGAAGGAGTGACTAACTAGCCACCAAATGTCAAATATATAGCCCTCTACTGTACAGTGTCTGAAGAAAATGTAAACATGTACAGGTCTGCTTCTGCCAAATGAGGCATAAACTGTGAGTATGTAATAGTTTGTACTTTTGCTCCAGTGGAAACGCCAGACAGTTTTGTGTTATTCTGCCCTTGGCTGAGATTTAACATACTGTTACATGGCTGATTGGCTTAGTTGTCTGGAGATGGGAAGTGTCGTCTATGAGCGAAGGTACCTTGCATACCAACCCTTTTGTATTCCTTCATCTGATGGACAACTGAATAGCAACCGAAGCTAAGTGCCATGGAAAATACCTTCCTAAATAACCGGCTACAAGTGAAGGTGCCCAGCTGCCAACCTTTTGCTTCTTAAGCGATGTGTGTGGATTAGTTAAGATTGAAGTGCTTTCATATGGAATTTCCTGGTGAAAATCCAGCTCCAAGTGGAAAAATTAAGTTGGAAGCATTCTGAGGAAACTTGACTCACTTCATGCTTGTATTTTGAAAGAATATTTAATGTAATGGGGCTTAATAAATGCTCAAATTTACAGCTCTTGTTTTTTTCTTTTACTCATTCTAAGGATTTGTGTTTTGTTTTTCCCCTTGAGTTTTCTTTTGGATTGAATGTGATATTTTTATTTTTTTTTTCCTTTTAATCAGGTTTATGTACTGGACTGAGTGGGGTGGTAAGCCAAAGATTGATAGAGCTGCTATGGATGGCAGCGAGAGGACTACTCTGGTACCAAACGTGGGACGTGCCAACGGCCTCACTATTGATTACGCTAAAAGACGACTGTACTGGACCGACCTCGATACCAACCTGATAGAATCCTCCAACATGCTCGGTGAGACCCAGAGCCCTGGGCCGCGTCACGGGCACGCTGCTACTGTTTCACATTTCCCTGTGGCAAGTCATTACTTAAGTAATGCAAAGATCCACGTCTTAAGACAAAAATAGATTTTTCCGAACTCACGTGCCTTTAACGTTTGCTTCTGTAATTCATGTTTATGCAACGCAGCATTTAGCGAGGCCTCGATTTTCTTGTAGGTGAATATTGTTGCTCACAAAGTTAAAATTATACAAGCTGTACGTGTTTTCAGTTATATGTAGGACAAAGCTGTCAACTTTCAGCGTTCTGGAGACTCTTGTTTTGCTGCTCTGAAGAGCACTGGCAAGTATATAACAAACACTTCATCATCTGTAGGAAGGTAGAGAGCCAAGATAACAACAGCTTATTGGACACTTTTCACAATGTAATTTAATACAATTTGGTTTTTAATCTTTGTTGGTATTGTCAGGGTTCGGGCATTTTTTTTTCCCCCAGGATCCTGCGCACCAAGGAGCTTTTCCTGGCTAGTACTGTTCATGAGGGGGACTCTCTCACACTGGGCTCTGTGTGATTGTTTTATAAACTGGTCATTACAGCTAAATGGAGGTGGAATATTTTGTTCTTTCCCTGTCCCAAAGTAGGGTACTGAGGACTCAAGCTCTCTCAGATTTGCACTCTATCTTTTCTTAACTTCTCGTCACCCAGGGGAGTGGACTGCCTCGTATGCCAAATTATTCAGATTAGCGTTATCACCAGCCAATATTTAAGGCTAAAGGAGATAGTCTACTTTAAACAGTACATTTGCAATAGTGGAACAAAGCTAGAAAAAGATCAAAACAAGAGAATGCATTATAGAAATTATATGTAATATAAAAGCTTTTCTTCAGCTTCTCATGTATTTTGGTGTGCTGTCAAGGCTGGCCCAGCATTCCCCTGTGTACCGTGGAGCTGGACACAGCATTAGAATTTAATTTTCCCTGTGGCTAGTGACAGCAGAGTGCAGGGCTGTGCATCGTTGTCTTCTCTGTGCAAAGAGGGAGTGATATCTTGCTTCATAATCTCCCATTTGTTTTCTGTGACAAGGCAGCAGGACATCCCGTGGTAATGAAGTGGTTGAAATAATGTGGTTGAAATCATTTTCCCCTCCATGCCCTGCTCCTTAAGGTCTCTTAACATTTCCACACTATACACCATTAACTGTTTCCTACCCTGAGTTTGTAACTGCACCTTCCTGTTACGACATTCCAGAGAGAGGTTAGTTTAACCTTGTGCATTTAATTTTTCTCATAATACAATGTAGAATTTTATTAAGCTCATAACAATTCTCTCTCTGTAAGCAGTGGGCAGAGACCCAGCTGTGGTGCGAGAGGTGGTGAACTGGGAATACAGTGTCAGGATACTGCATCTGCTTCAGAGGAATCCTGTTTGTTTCGGAGAGGAGGGAAAGGACAGAGTCTTTCTGAGAACCCAGATCATTTTTAAAACTGAGACTTCTTTAGTAAAATACATTTTCTTACGTAAATTATGAGCAGGATTAGCACATTTCTATTGATAGGCTCTGAGACTTCAGGATGGTCTTTGGAATATTGTATGTTGCTTTAGAATTTACTTTTGTAAGAATGCAACTTTAATTATATGTTAACCTTTCTGTGCAGGGGACATGTCCAACGGCATATCGTTTGTCCCCATGTAATTTTGCATTTTCTTTCCCTTTTTGGAAACAGGCCTTGACCGTGAGATTATAGCTGATGACTTGCCTCACCCATTTGGCTTGACTCAGTATCAGGATTACATTTACTGGACAGACTGGAGCCGGCGTAGCATTGAACGAGCCAACAAGACCAGTGGCCAGAACCGAACTATCATCCAAGGGCATTTGGATTACGTGATGGACATCTTGGTCTTCCATTCCTCCAGGCAGGCGGGCTGGAACGAGTGTGCCTCCAGCAACGGTCACTGCTCTCACCTCTGCTTAGCAGTGCCCGTCGGTGGCTTTGTCTGCGGCTGCCCCGCTCACTATTCCTTGAACTCTGACAACAGGACTTGCAGTGGTAAGCTGTAGTGAGTGAAAATAAAACACAGAAGCGGATGTGTTTAGTAACAGATGCGAGCATTGTACTTGGAGGAAAAAAAGAGTTTTATTTTCATGTGAAATGGTGGAGCTTGTTTGCCGATAGGCCAAGTTAAAACTAGTTTTTATTTTAAATGCTGAACGTGGTTTTGGTTTCTTAGCCTCCCTTCCTCCATAGGAAACAGGATATATGTCTGGATAAAGATGCCAATAGAAAAAATGTACTTAAAATATAATTTTCTAATACAAAAAGCCTACTGACTTTTAAGAGAAGATAGGATATTGAAAGGAAAAAAAAAAAAGGCAGCTGTTAGTGAGCCCTTTCAGTGACTCAGCTAAATCTGTGTAAACAGGAAAGCTCAAAAGGCTGTTGGTTTTTTATCTGTCAAACTCTCTTCAAGTACTTGCTTGTTTATTTATCCGCTTGTTTATTTCTAATCTGACATAAAGGTTATGTGATAGTTTAGTCTATATTCGGGACTTTGCAAAGCCTTTAGGTGGTCAGGATTTAATTCTCCAGTAGCTGTGTTTGCTGGCTGATGAGAGGCTGAGGTGGGCCCCTCTTGTACCCCTAAAAGTGTTTCTTCCTCAGTGAGGAGAGGCTCGACTCCACGGCCTCTCCAGCGCTTCAGATTTCTGATCTCAGTGCAGCCCCATTTTTCTTCATTGTCGTGCAGAATATGAACCACAGGGCCCCTCGGGCTGTGTGTAATTAGCTTCTAACCAAATAATTTATCCATCTCTCAATAACTGGCTGCCAGTGAAGCTCTCATAATTTTGGCAGCCACGCTGGATGGCTGATTTCCACTGGTGTCATTCAGATTAGTCAGTGGGTGAAGAGATTCATGGTACAGAGAGACAGATTGTATCTTGTCCGTGTTATGCACGAGCAGAGAGATCCAACTGTTGTTTTAAAGCCAAAAGCAGGCCAGCTTGTTCCACGAATGCCACCTCATGGCATTTTTTGAAAATCGTGCTCTTTGGAAAACTGCTTTTCCACCCCACCACGTGTCCTTGTACTCCTCCTTCCCTTTTTTATTGCAAGGGGCACTTGCATGACAACTGGATTCTTGTACTCTAACCCTCTCACACCTTCTTGCAAGTTAGAGGCACGGCTGGCACCTCTCTGGTGAACAACTGTGATTTTGTAGGTGGAGGAATTTGACTTTCAGTGGAGAGTAAGTAGCAAAATGATCAAAGGTCGTGTTTTCTTGTGAAAATGCTCTTAGAAACAAAAGGAGAAAAATACAGGAAATGTGTTGTGAGCAGATGGAACCTGCAGTACAGTTCAGGGCTGTTCGTGAGATATTAGGAATCTTCTGCCATGTTCAAACCTGGGAACTTTCCAGCTTCTCATTTGTAGGTAATTGGAGACTTAAACTTCTCTGGATATAATATAATTTTTTTCTTGGCCACTATAATTGAAGCATGAATTGTTTTAACTTTCTCTTGCCTGTCTTACTTGCTTATGTACTTCTGAACATCATTATTAGCCCAAGCCTTGTCTAGAGGCCAGTTCCTCCCCTCTGGATTACCCTGCCCCTGTGTGCATAGATGGTTTTAATTACGGGAAGGACACACTGCTCTGAGATCTGGTATCTCATCAGACCTACCACGTGTCGTGAAGTTTGAAGGCAGTTGTTACACAGGAGACATGCTCATTGCACTCCATTTGCCTGCCAAAAATATAGTTAAAATATGTGACTGTTGGGAGGGAGAATGATGAAAACTGGGAAGGGATCTGTGAAACTGGTAGTGTTTCAGAGGTGTGGGGACTCAAGGGGAGGAATTCTGCTGGTGCTTTTTCTAATGAACCATCAATTCAGAGTTGGAAACCAGGTAATATTAGAGAGTGAGAGGGTGTCTTAGGGGTAAAGTGGAAAGAATTTTAGGTGTTTATGATGGCATGTTTACCTGCACTGTTTTATCTTAAGCTTTTTTTCCTTTTCCATTACTCTCAACTGGTTGGTAAGAATTCTGATGTTTTCTGAATCTATAATTTCTCTATACACATTCATATAATCTTCACTTTGCTTTTTTTGTGCTTTCTTCTACTATTTAGAGCTAAGTAGAAGCCATCTTAAATTATTGGAGAAATGCTCGGAGGGGAAATACAGGTTTTCCAGAACACAAAAATACCTTGCAATTAGGCCTGATTGCTATAGGATGTTAGAAATGAGTCTTAGTTACCAAGGAAACTACACCACCACCACCCCCTTTATTTTTTTTCCAGCAGCCAGAATAAATGTTCAAAGCATATGCCTAAAATAACAAAGCAAGGTGATGATGTTCTCTGGAAGACTTTTGCTACCTCCCCTTTCCAAGGTGCTTGCCTTACCTGTTTTACAGGGTGGATTGAATGAGTGCAGTGTCCTACTGCTAATCTCTCCAGATTTGTGCTATAGAGAATTGATTGTACAAACTTCAGGGAGGCTGCAAACTCCATTTCTGGCTGCTGGCTCTTGTGCTGTCTTGCACAGCAGTGGCTCCAGGTAGACCATTATTGAAAAGAACCCTGTGAAAAGGGAAAATGCTTTAACTACCTCCTCTGTTTCCTGACCCAGTTATGTAATACAGGGATTTCTTTGTAATGATGTATTAAATGCCTTGTGCACTTACTGTAAGATACAGGCGGTAAACTTACAGCTATATGGGGTGGGGAAGACTTATTTTCTGATGTTATTTCTAAGAAAAAAATCATTTTTCCAGGGAATTTTTGCTGCGCATTTGAAAACCTGAAGCAGAGCATCAGATTATTTTTTTTTTCTGATTACAGGTTAGAATTTCCAGATGAGCACCTAAAACTAAGAAATATAAAGAAATTTGAGAAGAGTGACTAGATTTTTCTCCAAAAACACAGCCTTGCACATACCTAAGAGATTTTTCTGTGATTTGGTTGTTGTTTCATTCCAGTGCAGGCAGAAAGAGAGTTTGTGGGAACAGGACTGAACCACTCTAACATCAATCCCTCTTCCCTGGAACTTCTGAATAAGGAACCAGAGCTGGCTTTTGCTCAGATTCCTCTGCAAGTAGACGAATACCTAGCAAAAGTTCAACTTCAGAATAGTAGAAGGGACCTTGAGACCCCTTTAGAAAGAAAAATTGACAGTTCTGTGAGAGGCATAGCTGACTGTTCTTTGAGATGATTTTGACAGGAGTCTTCACATTAATTAGTCCTGCGACTTACAAAATTATCTTTGCCTGTCACATCCATGTTCAGACATTTATAGTAAGAAGAGGTCATTTGAAAGGCTCTCCAGACTGATCAGAGGTTGGGATTTTTATGTTTTGTTTTGGGTTTGGTTTTTTATTCGGCAAAGGAAGAGGGAGAATGGGAATGAAATAATAGCTACCCTCTGGTTATATATAGTAGCTGTCGTTATTGAACGTACAAATACCCAACATTATTGCTGTGTGTAACCCTTTCACCCTTCTTTTTTTTCTTTTTTTTTTTTTTAACCCTCCAAGCTCCTACAACCTTTCTGTTGTTCAGTCAGAAGAATGCAATTAATCGCATGGTGATAGATGAGCAGCAGAGTCCAGATATCATACTCCCTATCCACAGTCTCAGGAATGTTCGAGCCATTGATTACGACCCCCTGGATAAGCAGCTGTACTGGATTGATTCTCGGCAGAACATCATCCGGAAGGCACAGGAAGACGGCAGCCAGGTACCCTGCGGGTGATGGAATTACTGAAAGATGAGGAAGGCCTGCCCTACACCCAACAGTGAATGACTGTACATAAATAATTTAGTTACACAGACTTCCTGTAGATTACTAGCTGTCACTTGGCAAAACAAGTGGCATCTGGAGTTTCTGGAGTCCTCAGCCAGTAAGCTGGGAGGTGCAGCAAGAAATAAAACATGGAATACTGAGACCAACTTAAAGATACTGTTGTTGACAGCATGTTATTTGCTCAGGGATGGTTTTTGGCTGAGGGCTGTTGTAAACCCTTGTTTGAGAGAAGTGAAACGTGGAAGGGAAGGTTCTTGGGAGAACCAGAGTGTGTCAGGGAGAAGGAAGAGCTGTAAATTCACGGATCACAGGGGCACTGACTCTGAAATGAAGAGGGTGGGACTTTGTGAGCACACAGCTTTGAAGCCTCCCAGGTTCTGGTGGGGCTAGGAAGAGAGCTGATGTCAACCACAGAGGCACTGAGTGAGGAGGTTGGAACTAGCGACCCCTAAGAGATGTAGCAGGCTTAGGAGAATGTATTTGGGGAATACAGAAACAGTAGAGTAGGGTACAGGTATAGCGAGGTTAATCGTAAGGAGTGACTGCTTGTTCATTTTCACGTTTTAAAATAAAGGGTTTTTTCCTTCCTGATTGTTTGAATGAGAGAGCAGTGGGAGACTTAAGTTGAACAACAGAGGTGCTATATTCAGCTTAATTTTAAGAGTGTGTGGTTTCTGGTGGTGGGTGTGGTGGTAGTTGGATCCTACTGAAATGCCCTTCAACCTTAACTCTCTTAATTTAGCAATGATTTTAATTTTAGAATATCTAAATAATTTAACACCCAAACCTAGTTAAAGGCACCAGGTTTTTGCCAGCTTCATCAGAATAAACAAATGCAAGACTTGTAGGCACACCCTTTTGTAGAGGTGACAAGCTAAATAAGAAAGTTAGGCAAATTTTCTGGTAAAGTTTAATTTGGGGGTGAGAGGGTGGAGGCAGCTCACCTCAGAAGCATGAAGTTTTCCAAAGAGATTATGTAAAGTTGTGTTTTTTGAGTTACCAGTCCCCTTAGGGTTTTCTGAAAAGTTCATGGAAGTTATCAGTTAGGTTCATCTTTCACTACAGGGAGACTGTGCAGTTTCTTTCTAAAAAAAAATATAATTTAAAAAAAGAGAAAGGCGTGTGAACTGCAGAGGTCTGGACCAGCAGAAGGCAAGAACTTTAGAGCAGAAAGGTGCTAGCTGGAAATGCTTTAAAGTCACTGTCTCACACCAGCTGATGCCCTTTCTGTCTGTTGGCAGAGTTGCCTTTCATTTATTATTCATCCTTATGTTATGTCACCCAAGTGTGATGGCAGTGGTGGTGGAGAACAGCGAGGCAAGAATTTCAAGCTCTGTCTGGCCTCACTCTGCCTCTGTTTTCATCTGTTCAGCTGAAGCTTTGGGAATTAGTCATGATGCGAGTGTTTCTGTTGTAAAGCACTAAACTTTCTGGGTTTGGGTCTATACAAACAAAACTTAGGGTTGTCAAGAAAGCAAAGGAGATGGGGAAGTTGAACCTACACCTTCAACATAAAGACAGTTTGGACTTGCTGGTCAAACCTGCTAAGTCTTGTGAGCTGCAACCAGCTAATGTGATTGCCATTATGAAAAACCATTGAGACTAAGTTTCTATATCAAATCAAAGGTGTTGGTGGGGCAACTGGACTTGTAGGTTTCCTACTTTACGATAGTGTTTTGGCCGCCTCCTTTTCCTGAGAAGTAGTTCGGTGTAGTGCATCCATAGTAAATAAAATTGCTCACGTTAGATCAGATTAAATGCTCTTCTCTGGGTTGTCTCTTTCCTTTGTAGAGCCTCACTGTTGTGACAAGCCCAGTTCCCAACCAGAACCTAGACATGCAGCCTTATGACCTGAGCATTGACATCTACAGCCGCTACATCTACTGGACTTGTGAAGCTACTAATGTGATCAATGTGACACGCCTGGATGGGAGAGCCATGGGAGTGGTGCTCAAAGGGGATCAAGATAGGCCCAGGGCCATTGTGGTGAATCCAGAGAAAGGGTACGTAGCTGAAATAGTGACGTGGGCAAATTCAGGCTGAAGGCCTTGAGAATCAAATTTGTTTCTTGCTGCTGGTTGGTTTTTCTGTTTGTCAGAATAAAAACATCTTTGACATTTGTTAAGATGTCTTGGTCGTATCACAAAAATGTGGAAAGATCAAATAAACTTTTTTTTTTTTCCCCTCTGATCATTCCTATTCCAGATACATGTATTTCACCAACCTTCAGGAAAGGTCTCCTAAAATTGAGAGAGCAGCATTGGATGGAACTGAACGAGAGGTCCTTTTTTTCAGTGGTTTGAGCAAGCCCATAGCACTAGCTATTGACAGCCAGCTAGGCAAGTTGTTCTGGGCTGATTCAGACCTGCGGAGAATTGAAAGCAGTGACCTTTCAGGTAGAGTAGCACTTTAATTCAGTGATTCATTTGTGTGGCGTGGGTGTGGGGGAATGCAGAGAAAGGTGTCGTCTTTTCCTTCCTACTATAAACAGTGTGTACTGTGATTCTAATCGCTCCCTAAATTCCCAGCCAGGGAATGTGCGTGATTCATGCAGTGTGCCTTTACAGTCTCATGCCTCTATCTATGATTTGCATTATTAATTGCTACACATGCTATTTACTTCAGTTTCTCACTGCAAGACCTTTGTGTGGTTTCCCAAAGTCAGTTCACAAATAAATTGCAGCAGTTTTGGAAAGGGGAGTTTTTAAAAGCATTGGTTTTGATGCAGTAATCTGTCAATCAGAGGAAAGTTTCCCGTTAGAAGAATCGTTCCTGCAGAGTTAAAGCAGCAGGTGTGCAGGTCACTTATGTACCTGTCATTTAGGGTGAAATGATGTGAGAAGGATAGAGCAGATCTAACATCTCTCTGTTCTCAAAAGGCAAAAAACCTTCCTCTTCCAGCTACAGAATTCTCTCTGCCTGCTCCCTAAGGTTGGTTATGCTGCTTGTCTGACCTCCTCTATGAGTTGATTCAGCTCACGTAACCACATAAGCAAAACAATAACCTAACAACAATATACAGGAAAAGAGAAATAGAGAACAGTGTTTTGGAAAGCTGAATTGGCTCAGCAAGAGTCCAGCAAGCCACCAGAACTGGAACAAGAGAAGAGGCAAAATCACGCAGTCAGATTGGGTGAGAAAGCCTGAGATGTCTCCATCTGGAGACCCAGCAAGCTGCTGGATCAGCTCAGCTGTCTCATGTGGCTTTGGTAGTAAATTGTTGTGATACAAGTTGGGCTGGATGTTGGTGCTGGGAGTGCCAGGACGTTCTGAGCACGTACGTTACCAGTCTCAGGCCCTGGGGTATATGCCCCCCTTGCACCTGCTGCTAGTGCAGGGCACTGGCAGAATTTCTCCTTTCTCTGTAGTAAGTCCTCCGCCAGTTTGAAGAGTGCATGTCCTTGTACTTCAGCTGTTATTCTACTATCAGAAGCACAAATGGACACGTAAGAAAACAAGGACACGCTTTGCAATCTGTGAGCGAGTTTGAAAACTTAACAAGAGCGTGATAGTTTGTAGTAATGTCTTTCACTGGTGACGTGGTACCTTCATTCAAAGCAGCAGTGTGTAATCCCACTGGCACCAGTGTGGTGTTCAGCCTTTTAGTAAACTGCTAGAATAAGCTTTTGTTTTGGAAAACATTTCAGATTTTTCTAGACGATTGGTATCGGGGCTCAGCAAGGTAGTAATTATTTTCAGTGATTACTGTGGTGTATCACTGGAAGATTCAGGGTCACTGATGAACTGTGATATCCTGACTGTTTACTGGTTTAAAACGCAGGATGTAAACTGAGTTGAGTTAGTGAATTGGTTTGGTTTTTTTTTTTCAAAGTGATGTGGTGTGTCTCAGTGTGTTCTGGGCTATCCCAGATAGATTCTGTGTGAGTATAGTAATGGGCAGCAGCAGAACATCGTATGTGCTTTCTTTCTCTTTCTGTCTGTTATCTGCCAGAAATTAGGACACTAGAGGAGGAGATGGGTCTAAATTCTAATCCATTCTGGTTTTAATGATTCTGCTTCCTCTTTTTTTTTTTTTTTTTTTTAAAGATGTGGCTGTTGGATTGCCGATGTTGTATGGCAAAAGCTTGCCATATTTTCAAAGAACCTGAAGAAAAAAATCCTTCCAAAACGTCTCTTGCTTTTTGGTGTTTGCACCACAAGTAGATTGCTATAATCACCACGATAAATTGCTAACTGCTGAGATGCATTCCTGAGCTTAGGAATGCTGATGAATAGGCTCTTTTGACTGGCAGAGTAATTTTTCTGCATGTTAGCTTCTTAAAAACACGCACAGCCTCTTGCTCTGTCGACTCTGTAGATGCCAGTACCCATAAAGAGAAGGAGAGCTAGAATGCCTTTTATGTGATGCAATCCCTCTCTTCCTCCCTGTCCTTCAGGCATGCACTTAGGACTTGGTTGTGCTGCCCAAATGGGAAATCCTGTTGAAGCTAACCAGATTCTTCACATGATTAAGGGGTTGTTTATGAAAAGATGACTGGAATTAGCTCCCTACCATGGAAACTATTTGGAAATTAGTTCTTCTATTCCAGAATAATTAGTGTGATTTGGAAATGCCTAATGATTCTGGAATTAAGTCATTTTTTTGGGAAATAGAATGAGCTATGGGTGTGTCGTGATTTTTTTTTGTATTTCTTTTGTTTTTCAGTCTTTTTGTAAAAGGTATTGCTGGAAAGAGAATGGTGATGGTAGGAGACAAAGTTTCTCTTAATCACATCTCCCTTTCATCTGACATTACCAATAAAGGGGACTAGCACCCTGATGAGCCAGCTTCAGATTTTATTGTTGGTTTATGGAAGGAGGCATTTCAGTGTGTCGGTTTAGTCAGAAATCGTTACTCTTGGTCACAAGTATTAAAAAGAAAGATTAAGACATGAAGGGAGTGAAAACTTTAAGGTTCAGAGCTTTAGGAACATACTGCAAAATGCCACGCTGATTGACATGGGGCATGGCAGAGCAGAGCATGTACAGACTCTGTTTGGGTAGGTCAAGGTCTTAGTTTTAACTATATTCCTTCCGGTCATCTTTGCATTTTCCCCCATTCCCAGCTTAGCCTGTCTTCTCCTCAAGATGCAGGTTGCTGTTTCTTACCTTTTCCCTATACAGTGAGTCATGTTCATGGGGGTTAATAGACAGTTGCACTTAGTTTGGCTTACATCACTTAGTCTATTAATTTCTACATCAGTCTGGGTATAGCCTCCTTCAGAATCCATCAACGTCTTGTGTTAATCAGATCCTCGCTGGTGGTGTTCCACAGTGGTGGGTGAAAGCCCAGTCTAGCTGAGGATTAATATTTGAATTTCCGTGTGCTGCTTTAGATGTTACCTCTTGCTAAATGTTTAGAACATTGCTTAACTTCTGAGAGCTGTATACATCTGGTGAAAAGGAGATAAATATATTTTTCATAGCTGAATTTGTAAGTTGTCATCACTGACATACTGTCAATTAAATTCCCTACAAGCCAAAAAAAATTTTAGCTACTTATCAAAACGAAAGGATAGAACATGTTCAAATTATAAAAACATAAAATATATGTGTCTTTTGTCCCATAACATTATTTTGTGTGGACACGGTAGAGACATGGTAGAATTTTTCTCTGATATTCAGGTTTTACAGTATATTTTTATAGGACAAAATAGAAAAACTTCTTGGAAATTGTTTTGTGGATGAAATAGGTAAAGCTATTGCCCACTCTACTAAAAGCATAGCAGTGAGCTGAAATACCAGGATTTATATGTAAATTTTCAAGCTGTGGCCTAATTTTAGGCTGTGTGATATTGTTTCAGCATTTCAAAATGGAAGCAGATTCCTTATGTTTGTGAGTAATCTTATTCTCAGAATCTGATAAAGCTCACTGAATATTTGAGTGTTAATGACACATTATGTACAATAAATGAAGCATGGGTTAAACCTCACTTGAGCTCCGCTTTAGAATAACATATTTTCCATCTGTGTATGGGTTACAAAGTCTTCACTGTCTTTGGACAGGCTTTAAGGATATGTTTAAAACAGCTGCGGGCTGTCTGCTGTTTATGTGGAGTGTTAACCAGGAAGTGTGGCTGTTGCTCTTGTCTACATTTAATGCCAGGTAATCTAGCAAAAAAATCCACAGATAGTCTTCAGAGGTGTAGGGCTAAAGCCTCTTGACTGCTACCGATGATTGCTAAAGGGACTGAGGAAAGTAAGGCTTCACTAGAAAGAAAGGAGCAGTCCCAGTTTAGCATGAAAACCTTAGTGAAGATAATGTAGATGAAACAAAAGAATATGAGGAAGTCAGAAGTCAAGTGTTTACCTTAATCTCATAATTCATGTGAAAAAGTACTAACTACTTTGTCTTCTTGAATTTTATCTCGTGTTAGTTAACTCAAGCTAATAATCCATCATTTTATTCCCTGTTGTATGCCAAGACAAAGCAGTTAATCTCTCAAAAAAAGGATAGAAGAATGAAAAGAATTACCAGTTCCCATCGTATCGATAAAAGACTGGATATGCTCATGAGAGCTGAGCCCCCAATTCCAGATGCTTCTTAAATAAACTAAATGTATTTGAAGCACAAAAACTGTCGTCTTGATGAAAGTAGAAAAAAAATCTGATCATCTGTCTGCAAAGTGCATCAGTCTTGCATCAGAGGACCCAGGATTTCTTGTGGTTTTAGCTGGTAGTGGGAAAGTACTGGAAAACAGTGGTGTGAGTAGTGTAGAAAATGTTTGTAATAGCTCAGCTAGAATCAGCTGAAATACTGAACCGCTCTTTCCCTTCTACAGGTGCTAACCGGATCATTTTGGAAGACTCTAATATCTTGCAGCCCGTGGGACTAACTGTCTTTGAAAACTGGCTGTATTGGATTGACAGGCAACAGCAGATGATTGAAAAGATTGATATGACTGGTCGAGAAGGACGTACAAAGGTCCAAGCTCGTATTGCACAACTCAGCGACATCCATGCTGTGAAAGAGCTCAACGTTCAGGAATACAGTAAGTGCAATCCCTGTCTGCAAGTGCAAACGGTGCCTGCGGGGCTCGAGGCGAGGAGTGGCCGCAGAGAGATGAGCCTGTTTTGCCTTGTCGCTGATCGACATCGGTGCAGATTGAAGGAAGGGGCCAGAAGTTGGTATGGTTTTGTGTCTGCACCTCGCCAGGGTGCGATTAAATTTGTTTCCTCCGGGCGGTTGGCAGTGGACTGGAAATCTATCACAAACCCAACATCAGGTTGTGTTGGTGATGACAACTTTATTGGTAGTCCCGTAGAGGCACCTGGCATTTGGGTGGCTGTAGGCACAGTGGAAACATCCCGTTATCCCTAGTAGACGATGATGGCTGCAACACACTCTGAGTTGCTCCTAGGTGTTTATTCCGTTGAGACAAGCGCAGCTCTCCGGGCCTTTTACCAGCAGGAAATGTTTCAGTGGGCTGCCTGCCTTGAAGGCAAAATGAACAATTTTTATTGGTGGCAATTCAGATCGAAAGTAAGTGACGGAAGAGCAACGTTGCCTTGCACAAAGGAAGTGTGTATTAAATAACAATTTGTGTTGAACGTGGCTGCACTTCTGAAAGTTTTCTGATTACCAGGATACAGCCTTTCCCTCCACATGTGTGCTTGAAACGATGGGAGAGAGATGGTTAAAGCAGTGGAGGAAATAAACCTGGTTAATAGGCTGTGGTGCATGCCTTGGAGAAATATGTAGAAAAATGTCTGGGGATGTTTAATTAAAGCATCAGTGCAGACTACTACTAGTTTTATTTGCTATTAATCTCAGTAAATCTGTCAGGAGTTCCGAGAGAAGTATGTTGTCCTTATTAAACATTAAAATGAAGAGACATATTTATCTAGAGCATGTTAATTTGAGTTTCAGAGACGGTATGGAAGCTTCAGAATTCATAAATTAGAAAAGTTTACTTTTTTAATGGTCTTTGATAGAGAAAATGAAGTATGGAATCTTTTTGTATTACTAAGGCTACTGTTTGTGCTGCAGAACTAATACCACCCTGCACAAGAAGCAAAATTCTTTGAATGCTTAGGCACCGTGGCATGATTCTCACACTGTTTCAGATCACGGACAGCGATCGATGTGCATGATAATAATTGATGTGTGTAAAGGGGAGAAAATGCACACAACAAAATACAACTCTCTCAGAGTTGTTTTTAGTAGTGCTCTCCCCAGGGGGAAGGAAGTAATGAAAGAAGTTCCTGTGCACCAAAAAAATCACTGAATGGTCGAAAATGTGTTGGGGATTTCTTGTCAGTACCTGTCTTTCTTATTTTTTTTAAATCCCAGGACAGCATCCTTGTTCTCAGGATAATGGTGGCTGCTCACACATTTGCATCGTGAAGGGTGACGGCACCACGCGCTGCTCTTGCCCCGTCCACCTCGTTCTGCTGCAGGATGAGCTGTCCTGCGGAGGTAAGTCCTCCCCGTGCTCCGTGTCACTGAGCTCCTGGCTTCTGGGTTGGGGGAGGAGGGTGTCTCCATCTTTAGAGGTGGCTTCTGAGCTGAAAGAGTGTGACAGTGCACCAGATGCTGTTACACGCTTTTACACACTTACCTCTTTGCCTCCCTCCCAGCTGAATCTGCAAGTACTGAGGGATTAGTAAGAAAAAGGGGAAAATTCACTAGTTGGCTGTTGAAAAATTCTCTTGTGAGGCTGCCCCTCGATGAGTGGGTTCAGTTTTGGGCCCCTCACCCCAAAAAGGCCATTGAATGACTCGAGCGTGGCCAGAGAAGGGCAACGGAGCTGGGGCAGGGTCTGGAGCACAGGTCTGCTGGGGAGCGGCTGGGGGAACTGGGGGGGTTCAGTCTGGAGAAGAGGAGGCTGAGGGGAGACCTCCTGGCCCTCTGCAACTCCCTGCCAGGAGGGGGCAGAGAGGGGGGATGAGTCTCTGGAGCCAAGGAGCCAGCGCCAGGCCCCGAGGGAATGGCCTCAAGCTGCCCAGGGCAGGGTCAGGCTGGCTCTGAGGAAGGATTTCTGTGCAGAAGGGGCTGTTGGGCGTTGGAATGGGCTGCCCAGGGCAGGGGGGAGTCCCCGGGATCCCTGGAGGGGTTGAAGAGTCGGGCTGAGCCAGCGCTGAGGGATCTGGGGGAGTTGGGAACGGTCAGGGGGAGGGTCATGGTGGGACTGCAGGATTTTCAAGGTGTTTTTCAACCGAGATGATTCTGTGAATAAGGCTTTCTGTTTAGCCTTTCCACTTAAGACCACTGAATGATTTCAACTTGATTTTTTTTTAATTATATGATATTTATTACTTTTTTTCTATCACTGTATGTTCTCCATTTTCAAATGGTGGTAGAGCCTCATGTTCTGGCATCATTACACCATGCCTGTGCCATTTTATTCTTCTCTGCTGTCCTCCTCAAACTCACCCTGTGCCTGCCTTTCTGAACTGCAGTCCCAGAAGGGCAAGTTGCCTCCTCTGTGGTGATACGGCCACTGTAGCCCACACCCTGATGCCTCCAAGGGTGGGGATGAAATGGGGGAGAGGAGAGGCACTTTGGTGCTTGGGTCTCTTTGTGCCACCGTACTGAATGGATTTATTATGCAATCTTCTCGCCATCAAGGCGACGTGTGGTCTCACAATGGAACAAGAGCTAACATAATCCAGATATTTTCTCAGACCAAGTTTAATACCAGGCCAAAAGCAGGGGGGGAGAAAAGGGAGGATTAAAAAAAGGGGGGGAAAAAATCCACACTTACTGCATGAGATTAACAGTTACTGTAGTAAATGTTAAATAACAGCTAACAGCTGTGTTGAGATAGCAGGACTTGACTATATGGAGCAGTTTTTTGTTGTTTTAAGAGAATTTTGACTGAGCAGAGCTGTCGAGGGCACATAACTAGACATTGAGTCACAGTGCATCCATCTGCAGCGCATTACGTCCTTCTAACAGTTTCTATACAGCGACTGTTGAGCATTAAAAAGTGAGCCATCGGTTGTGTATACAGTGGTGTTGCAGGAAAGGGGGAGTAGAAAAGCGTGTTGACTTTAAATGAAGACTTTTGAAGACCTGTTAAGAGAAGGGTGTAAGGCTGAAGTAGGAAGGGAAGAAAATAATTGTTTTGAGTGTGCATGTTTCTCTGTTTCTCTTGTTCTTTGTCTAATGAGCCTCCATGGATGTGAGGCTGCCTCAGTCACATGGGGCTCAAGATCTGCACAAATGACTTGCAGAGCGGAGGTGGGAGTTACCTTATGTCATGGCACATTTAGCAGCTGCTCGATAAATCAAACCAGCTGAGATCTTCTTATCCTTACCTGTCCTGATCTACTGTTTGTTCACCTGGATTTTTAATTTTTGTTTGTTTGCTTGATTTTTAAAGAACCACCAACATGCTCCCCTCAGCAGTTCACCTGTTTCACAGGTGAGATTGACTGCATCCCGGTGGCCTGGCGCTGCGATGGTTTTACTGAATGTGAAGATCACAGTGATGAAAAGAACTGCCCGGTGTGCTCAGACACCCAGTTCCAGTGTGAAAGTGGACAGTGCATAGACAGTGCCCTCCGGTGCAACAGTGAAGCAAATTGCCAGGACAACTCGGATGAGAAGAACTGCGAAGGTAGAGAGGATCTTTCAAAGTGTGATGAAAACAGCTGTCGTGGGGACACTGATAAATACCAGAGTTACTCCTGACGAGGATTTGGAGCATTCTGACATTTTGCTAGTTTTTAAACTGGTCTGTAAAATGGGAAATTATTTCACAACTCCATACTTTTGTTTATCCACCTGTGAAATGGAAATAACACCGATCCCCTGCATGGTGGTTTAAGCTCTGTTTGTGAAAAGTACTATTAAATGTGGTATGTTTTTAAGCTATAAGGACCTGGTGACTGGGAGTGAATTACAAAGCGGAGCAAATCCTTATCATAGTTTTTTGTGTACCTTGTAGCAAGTAAAGGTCTTGGGATTGTTTATTTTATAATACCTGAACAAAATGAAGTTAAGCTTTTCTGAGTAAGTAGGAGTAAGAGACAGACAGGATTTCTGGAGAGCTCAACTTCCTATAGAGCACAGCAAAAGAGAGTATTTGAGCCATCATTACAGAGGGAAGTGCTATTGCCAACACAATGAGAATTAAGTTATTTTAATTTTGGAAAGGACGGGTTATGCTGGTGGAATCTGAACTACCCCACCACAATACAAAGCAAAACTTGAGTAAACTCGCCCTTCCTTTCCCCACTATAATAGAGAGTTGTAGGGACAGCTTGTAAGCTTGAAAGGATTCCTCTTCTCTATATCCTTTTAATACATTTTCCTTCTTTGAAGAGACCGTCTAAGGGTCTTTGAATCAGCAGAACTTCTTTCCAAAAGATGTGCTCCAGCTCAAACAAAAACATACAGACCGATGCAGAAATTCCTGTGTGATGAAAGGTGATTGTTAGCCAGATGAGATGCTGACATCTGAAAATACATTGTTAAAGTTAGCTTCCCACTTGCCATCCAGTTCATCACCTTCAAAGTGGCCCTGTTGTTCAGAGGACTCAAGTTGATTACAGACCAGAAAAGCCTTTCGTTTAGCTTCTTAATTCAACTGAAGTCAGAAAGAATTTCTGGATTTATGAGAAACAGGAGGCAAAAATACGTATAAACAACAGCAGCCAGCACCTTGCCTGCAGCACCTTTTTTCCCAGAGCGGTAGTTTATTTTTTCAGTGTACTGGCAAAGCTCCAGTTTTATCTTCTGTCTTTCATTTCAGTTTAAAAACATAATGCCAAGTGAAATATGTTGTCCCATGATCAAGGAGTTTTCTGGTTTACAGGAAGAACACAAGGGCATTGAGAAACCACATTTACCTTTCTTAAACAATTTTTTCATCAAGGTTTGGCAGATTTATTTTTAATAACTTAATTTGTCTCTCTTATATTGCAGTAAGTTCTTAGAGTTGGGGCTTCTTATAGTAATTTTGCAATAAGTGTGGCCTAGGACAAGTGCCTGTGCTCTCAGTGGCCTTCTGCTTCTGAGTTATTTTAGTCAAGATAACTTTATTTTGTAGTGTCCTTGTTATAAAGAGGCAGTAAGGACCAGCTACCCACTGTGCAATATCCTCAACAGAACACTGAAACACTTTTTCTGCACAGATGCCATGAGGGACTTTGTGTGACACTGGCTACTTCAACAAATGAAGCTAGCAGCTGTCTAAACTATCCTAAGATACTCCTTGTTGTATGCTTTGGTGTCTTGTTTTCTTAATCATTTTAAAGTCTTTGATACTGATTCTTGCTGTATGTGCGGGGTTTCTCTTTCCAGTGCTTTGTTTAACCGACCAGTTCCGCTGTGCCAGTGGGCAGTGCATTGGGAAAAGCAAGAAATGTGATCACAACCTGGACTGCAGTGACAGCTCAGATGAGCAAGGATGCTGTAAGTGTAATACCTGAGACTAGAGACTTGATTGCAGCATCTGAAATTTGTTTCTTACCTTCTCTGAGTTTATTCTGCCAATCAAACTGAATTAATTGTTCCCAAAATGAATGCTCCTGCTCGTAACTACCATCATGCAGTCAATGCACGATGTGGTGGAATAGGAATAGCAAAAATAACCAGTACTCTGAATGAGTAGTCTCTGAGGCAGAGCAGACTAGTAATTTTTCCACTTACCTTTTTAAACTTTTAAAAGAAATAAAAGAGTTTGTTTTACTATAATCTGTTAGTATGCTGAGTTGGTCCAGTGTTTAAAAAAAATACCATTCTAGCAGCCTGAGGCTTTTATATATAACTGCTCTGCTTCATGGTTTTCTCATCCTGAGAATTAATAGCAGGTGCTTTTAGAATCAGAGGAGCACTCTGTTTATAGAGTAAACCTTCTAAAATTTCCTTTGTATCTTGAAAAGATGTAATTCTGAGCTTGATTTATGATTTGTAACATGTGATATCCCCTACCTTGAAATCTCCAGGGCTCTGCAAGAAAACCACTGACTTTAAAATTCCAACTTGAAAGTTCATATTCAGCGTTGGTGCTTTAAAAGAAATTGCAAATAGGGACATCTCTTCTTGCGTTAGAGATCCGTATATCACGGTTGACACATGCATAACTTGAAAATGCAAAGCCACAGTTGGACCCTTGATCTTAAGGAGTAAGAGGAGATGTTCTGCCATGCTACCAAGTTATTAGTGGCATTATCACAGACGTGTACAGTTATCTTTATTACGGCTCATATATTTTCTGGTTTTGTAATAGAGGATGGAAAATTAGCCCACCCAGAGTACGACTGCAGTTGTCACTGTCCCTCTTCAGTATGATCAGAAGTCTGTTTACTTATCTCTGTAGACTGTGACAAGCTGGTTAAAGTGTGGGGCTGGTGTTCAGGGAGAAGAAAATGTGTTGAAGAAAAGACTTTCAGTAATGGATAAGATGTAAAACACTGACTAGAACAGGAAAATACTTTAAAGTCTGCTTTTCTTGTCAAATTCATGAAGCACAGGCAGGGGGTTGTCAGTTATTCCCAGAAATGTCATTGCTTAGAATTGGTATTGTAGGGAAAGCCACTCATTTTGACTGTTGAATAATCATTTCAGATACAGATTCCTCATAAGGGTGGCACCTCTAAAGCTGATGCTCAGCTATATCTGTAACTGACGGTGTAGGTCAGATGTGGAGTAGGTTAGGTAGTTTAATAAATAGCAGCAAACCCAGAATTCATCATTGGTGCAGCACCTCTACTGTTCAGCATAAGTGAATGTTAACACAGCTAAGAAGAGGGAGTGCTGATCTGTTACGTTGAGCGCTAACCTGGGTGCTTACGTGATGAGTCGCAACATGAAAACTCGTTGTCATCGTCTTTAATGACAAGACAAAGCATAACTGGAGTCCCCAGCACCGTGCCGTCTGGAGTCGTGGCTGCAGGTCTTGTTCATCAAGTCCAGAGGGTAGCCCTGCCTGTTAGCATTGCAGCAAAGGCAGGACCTGGTCCTTCAGCCCCCCTGCACGTGTGTGTGCTGTCGTTTCCTGACATTTGTGACTCGGAAGCCTCTCTGCATGGGTGAGGCCATCTTGTGCACACGTAGCCTTTATCGACACTCAGAGTCTTTAAACAGACCTGTCCCAGTGCCTGTTTGTTCCTCCCGTGTATTAATTTGAAAGCTGTTGTCTGCCTACAGAAGAGGAGGCTTTTATTTTTTTTCCTGTGTGGAAAGATGTCAGGAAAAACTGATGTTGGTACATGAAGCTGTCGGATTAATTTACACGGTCTGATTTTCCTTTTTCCTTTTAGACACAACGGAGGAGCCTGCGCCACAGCCCAACAACACAATAGGCTCCATCATTGGCGTGATCCTTACAGTTTTTGTGGTTGGAGCAATGTACTTCATCTGCCAGAGGGTGCTGTGCCCACGCATGAAGGGAGATGGGGAAACAATGACCAATGATTACGTGGTGCACGGACCAGCCTCTGTACCTCTTGGTTATGTGCCTCACCCAAGCTCTTTGTCAGGATCTCTTCCTGGTGAGTAAATGGTGTGATCCTTGTCCTGCTCTTTGGCACCACATAGTTGTAGCTGAGGATACTTGTGTGTGTTTGCACAGGAGATGTCCATGCCAGATGCATAATTCCTAGAAACTGTTGGAAGCCAGGACTGTCAAGGCTTGTCACAATCTTTCTTTGTAATAATGATCTGCTGGTTTACCTGCACTGAGATGCTTAGAACCTTAAGCTCAAACTTAGAGCCGTGGGAGTTCTCCTCTTTTGCTACTAGACCTGCCTCTTTTTGGACTATCATAGCATCAGCAAGGTGTCATGACAGTACAGGATAAGTGTTACATTCAGGGGACTTTAAACGTGATGTAATTATTCCTGTTAGATTTGTAGACCGGATTTGTACACTTGTGAAACTTTTGCAAAGTCTGTAATGACCAGCAATAAAGATGGTCTCAGCTTATTTTGTCTGATGATGAAGTTTCCAACACCAATCCAAGAACGTGATGCTGCTGCTGTTTAAAAAGTTAAGACTTAACCACAGTGTTGCACTTCATTTATGTACCTTGCTTCTGGTTTTGTCTGTGTTCTGTTTTTTCTATAATACATACTGCAACTTGTGGCTTTGGATCCAGCAGGTTCCAGTCAGAACACAGAGGTTCTGTGAGGCTGTTAGAGGGTTAAAATAATACACCAAATTTCTTTGCTTTCTGTAATAACCTGCTTTCATAAAAAGAGTCTTTGAGCAGAATTTTCACCACTATTTCAAGCACAGTGGCATACCTCCCCGGTTCCTGCTTGGACACCCTGCCAGCGTGCTTCAGTCCAGTAGCAAAAGCTCACTTAACAGTGTGGAAATGAAAGAACACAAACCCTCTCTTCTCTTGCACAAATTTCAGTTGCTCAGTTGAGGTGGTCAGTGTCGGTTTCATGTTTTATTCTGAGGCATAGAAATAGTGCCTGAATGCCGGTTCTCTCAAGTCTTTTCCAGCCATTCAAGTGAAAGAAATGTGTTTCTCTTCACACAGCTCTAGTATAGCCCAGTGCCAAGTCCTGCAGTTGAGTACTGAAACAAAAAAATGTTTATTCCCTGACAGTCTTCACTCCAGTTGTCCATCAAGGAGTGCTGGATTTGCTCTTAATACCAAGATGATTAATTTTGATTTTAGGAGTTGTGTTTATACTGCTGTTATCCTCTAGATTATTTTTATAAGCTTTCTTTTCTCCGTTTTCTTCAAAGAATTGAATGTTGACATAGATCTTTGTTCTTCAGGGATGTCTCGAGGTAAATCGGTGATCAGCTCCCTCAGCATCATGGGAGGGAGCAGTGGGCCACCCTATGACAGGGCCCATGTCACTGGAGCCTCCTCCAGTAGTTCTTCAAGTACCAAAGGCACTTACTTTCCTCCAGTAAGTCATTCTGTTATTCGCAGACCTTTAATAATTTTCAGGGAAGTGGCCAGTGTCTTTCCAAGGATAATCAATTGACAGATGAATGTTCTGTTTGAAATTTCTAGCCTACTAAACTTGTTTGAATATGGAGTGATACTGAAAGGGGGGAGGGAGAGGAGATGTGTCTTTTTCTAAAGCAGTATAGGAATTTTCTGTTAATTCTAAAAAGTTGTGAGAGAGCTCAGTGCCAGAAAAAGATGTTAAATTGAATGTCAAGGGAGATTAAAAAAAAATGCCTCTAAATGTTGAGCAGCTCTGGCAGAGTGATCTCCTTTCATTATACTCTGCCATGTGCCTCTGGAAGTAAAACTATGGTTGAGTCTGTATAGACCTTACAAAGAATTAAAATGACATTTTGTGTCATGTGCCTTGCAAGTGACAAGTAAATAAGTGTCTTACGACTCTGTAGCATTCTTCTAGTCACAAATGGGTGGTGTGCTGGACTAGATACTATATAAAAGTTGGTACCAGCCCTAGAGGGCTCCCTGTATCTTTTCTTCTAGCATCACTAGTGGTTGTTTTAGATATTTCTATGAGGTCCACCAAGCCCCTAATGAGTAATAAACAGCTACGTGCTCAGCCCGTGCAGGCTGAAATCTTCACCTGTTGTCAGTTCCACAAACCAACCTATCACATTAGATCTTTAAATTAATCGAAAAACTCTTTGTGCAGTAAAAGCATGCCTGTATAGGGAAGAAATGCTTGCCTTGGACAGCACGCTGCAAATATTATAAAGAGCATAATCACCTGGGGACTGCAGCTAGCGGGAGCAGACATCTGCCAGTTTGCCTAGGGCGGTGGTCTCCCTGGTGACAATCTAGTATTGAACAGCTCGCTTCAACTTTTCTTTTTGGCACTGGGTATGTCAGAACAGCAACGGCAGTTGGTGTTTTCTGAGAAGAACTTAGTAATAGCTTCTGTGCAAATGGTAACAGGTGGCATTCCCGGTGTCTGTTAAAGAATTGGGGAATAAACAGAAGAAAAATCCTGTTTGTTGGGAGGGGCTGTGCATGCAGTTCTTAGCTTAAGGTTCCTGTTAAACAGTACTAGAAAGAACATTTATAAAGTGATGTTTTCTTGAGTCTCCTTCATGGCTTTTTTTAACTGTGGCTTTTTTCTCTTTTTTTTTCCCCTTAGATCTTGAACCCACCACCATCACCAGCTACTGAACGTTCACATTATACCATGGAATTTGGTTATTCTTCAAACAGCCCATCCACTCATAGATCCTACAGGTAATTACTATTACAGTAGCTTCTGTCAGGATCAAAGCAGTTAGTGGAGAAAATGCATAATAAAGAGAGCCTCTGCTCCGTAAGAATTGCAATCAAAGGCCCTAATTGTGCAAGCACTAAAACAGGTGCTTGGATGGGTTCACATCTATCGTGTCACTGAGCATGCGTGTACATGCAACACTGTTGAAGTAAATCCTACAGTAAGTGGGCTAGTGGTGCACCTCTCAGGTATATTGCTTTAGGAGGAATGCCAACACTCATCACAAAATCAGCTAAATGCCAAAAGAAACCTGGTACCATGATAACTTTGAGCCAAAAATACTTACCCTGGAGTGAACGCTGCCCTTTTTTTTAGGCTTCTGTCGTAAATAATTTGTTATGTAATTGTCAGAAATGATAGGCAAAGACCATGCGGAGGAAAGTTGGATAGTAGGTCAGAAGTAGCACTAATATTAGGGCCTAAATAGAGTTCAGCAGTTCTAGGTTGACATATCAAGGGTTAATATCTGAAGAAGGTTGCTAACATTTTGCTTATTTTCTCTGACTAGTATTTATGGGCATGAAAGCTTTATCTCTGTTTACTTGAACGTATCTTTCTTACCTTCCCTGTAAGATGCTGGAGTTCATTACCATTTTATAACTAGTTACCAAAAATAGAGAGAGACACCTAGTACCCCAGGGTGTAAAGGTTCCCCTCCCAAATCACTAGTAGATCTGGTCAATGAGAAGAGAGTGCTGTATTTGTCTGCTGAAAAAAAATGCCTCCCTAACACAGAGCCTTTGGGGGCTTTTGGATAATGAGGTCTCTGGGGCTGAAAAGACATCTCTTCTCCATTAGCAGAAAATATGGCCTCTGTTGTGCAGAAGGTCAGACCAGATGTTTATAATGATCCCTTGCAGCCATATAAAAAAAAAAAAAAATCTTTTAAAATGATGAGTAATTTTCTAATGAGAGAAACCTGAAGTTTGGCACGAGCATGAATCATGCTGATCGCTGGTTAGCTGATGTGACTTTTAGTATTATAAATGGTATTAGGGATGTAGCACGGGGTTGAATGTTTCCAAACGCTCCCCCACCCAAGAATAAACCCTGGCTTTGCTGCTTCTGATCTTCCCATCTTTCCTAACGTTCTGACTTGAATATAGAGGAGCTGCGTCCCCACCCGCCCCCAACAACTGACTGTGATGCTGGTAGTTGTAGCTACCAAGCACCTCCCTTTCTAGTTTGTTTTTCTTTAAAATACCTTGGGCTCATTTTAAAAGATGTTTTGTAGTAGCAGCCTTTGGGAATTCCATCCCGGTTACTGCTCTGGTGAGGAATTCTCCTGACTGCTCTGAATGTGCCAGGCCATTTTCAGTCTCCCTGTCTGGGCTTGGAAGTTAGTATTCATAAATTGCATAATGGAAACAGAATTATTTTCTCCATATAATTGCAACACAGCTATTCTTCCCTCTCCCCATGCCCTTCCTGCCCCACTGTCTTAGGAGCAACTTCTTCTCTAGCTCAAGTTAAGTCCTGAGGGAGCCTATTTTCCGTAGATAATTAATAATTGCCATCCCTTTCACTAGTTGTTACGATTTGACTGACACTGTAGTGCAAAGGTGGCCCTTCTGCAGGGGAATTAGCGAGTTCACAGCCTGAGAGAGAGAAGAGCACGGTGCTGCCTGTTTTCTGCAGAGGGGTTGACCTGCTCTTTCCACCTTGGCTTACCCGCCGCTGGCTCGGTCACCCGTCACCCAAAACACACATTTTTTTTCCATATTCTCTTTCCCCATAAATCTCCCCCCACCACCGCAGCTACAGGCCTTACAGCTACCGGCATTTTGCACCTCCCACGACACCCTGCAGCACGGATGTCTGTGACAGTGACTATGCCCCCAGCCGAAGGGTCACGGCAGCCACGGCCAAGGGCTACACCAGTGACTTGAACTACGATTCGGAGCCCGTCCCCCCGCCGCCCACTCCCCGCAGCCAGTACCTGTCGGCGGAGGAGAACTACGAGAGCTGCCCGCCGTCCCCCTACACGGAGCGGAGCTACTCGCACCACCTCTACCCGCCGCCGCCGTCCCCCTGCACGGACTCCTCATGAGGGGTAGCCCCCCCGCCCCGTTATCTGCCTCCGTCATGGAAGTGTAAATACAAAACGTTTTACTGGGGAGGGGGGAGGGAGCTCTCGGTGAAGGATGAGGTAGGACAGTGTACAGTTAAATGTTATTAAATGGGGTGGAGGAATACTGAAGATATTTGTACAGAAGAAAAAGGATATTTATATATTTTCTTAAACAGCAACTGCTGCTTGTGCCATAAGAAGAAAAAAATTTTTGTATAAAAGAACCCAGACATTTGTACAAAAAGTTTTTATTTTTGCAAATGGAACACAAAAACATGCCTTAATCCAGTGAAGTGACTGAGCACATAAGGAAACGGAAGGACCGGGATGTGTTACTTGTCCAGCGAGGCGAGATGTGGGGTTTGTCAATACCAAAAATGTTTAAAGTAATTAATGATAAAGAAGTCCGTCTCAGAGCAGCATACCATAGATACTTGGAAGTAGCCAAATAAACCTCTATGTTAACTACGGAGGGCCAGCAACTAAAGTTAAACTTGAAAACGCAGTCAGGACAGATCTTAACCTTACACAAAGGGCTTTGTTTTCTACAGGAATACAGCAATCGTAGCAGTGAATCCAGAAAAATAATCACATACTTCTTTAAATGAATACGCCTCTGTTTTTCCTTAATGCATTTACCAAACAAGAGCATTTAGAGCTCTCTCCCTGCTTCTGGAATTTCAATTATTTTTGTTGGGTATATTTTAAAAGTTTACTTTTTTTCTCCTGTTTAGCTTTTCCCATCTCTTCTGCATCCTTTCTTCCTGCCCGTGTCACTTTAAATCACGATCTCCTTATTTAAAGTACTGCTAGAACTGGGCTGCTGTAAATTCTTTTTTTTTCTTCTAATTAGCCTCGTCATGCAGTGAGTATCATGCTCTACATTACCTTCTTCGTTTTGCCAGCATGGTAGGATTCCGTTTTGTACCAGGTCAGTACGATTTTCACGTGATTGACAAGGGTAATATGCATATACCTGAATGATTTCTAGTCCCTTAAAAAAAGAAAACCTTATTTTGACCTAGTGCCCACAAAATGTCAAATATTTTTATACCACATATAATATAGACAGCATATTTATAAACTATAAATTTAACCGTGGATTGTTAGTTTTACTGTAAATGAATAATATATCCTTGCAGTACTTTCAGTGTATATTGATATCACGGTATACAAATCATATATATATAAATATATATATTATTTTTTTCCTAGTAAGGAAGCATTTAACTTTCAGTGGAGCAACTGTCCATTTAAAAAAAAAAAAAAAAAAAAAAATTTT